TCTGCATTTTTGGTGCAGGTTTGGTGCGGTAAAAAAAGTACTAAAACACACCTCCCCATTGAAATCAATGGAAAACATGGGAAAAATGCATCAAAATTGCACCCACATTGCGTTTTTGGTGTGGTTTTTTGTGTCACATGTCCTTTGCATTTTTGCTATGGATCAGTGTGAAAGTAGCCTTAGAAGGCTCATGTGTGGCTTTTTTGAATCAGTGAGAAATCGTTTATTGTTTACATTGGACCACAATTTTTTGTACTGTACATTTATTTGTCATTTCTAGTATATCAAAGGGATAGAAGCTGTTTTTTTCTTTACTCGCTATTTTTTTTGATTTACATCATACGAAGTTGTAGGGCAGCCAGGTGTTTACTGTCATTTTTTTTTTACGTTATTCATGTTCAATTGGTATATGAACGTTCCCAGTGAGTGTTGACATTTCTGCATCCCTGAGCACAGTGACAAAGGGTAGAAAGTGCTGAGCCTGCGGCGTGAACCTAATACCAGACTAACATGTCTGTGGATATTGCTGCTGAAACCTCTCTAAGGACAAAGGAGACTGGGAGCCAGCAAGTCCTGGTCCTTCATGGACAAATAGTGAATGATCCTCTGAGTTCTCCAACCACTTATGCCGGCACAAAGTCAAGGACGCAGCCCTGCACAGGAGTACAGGGCACCGCAGTTAGCCTTCCTAACCAAGGAGGCCCAGAGCCCATCATAGCCATCTTTATTCCTGGCTCTGAGGGCACCTTTATCCAAGCTATTCAAATTTGCCTTGCACCTGGCTTCACCAGAGGTAGAAGAAGGCCGATCATCCTCCTTGAATAGACTAAGCAGGGTTCAAGTGTCTCTCGGGTCCAGTCATTCATTAGGGTAGCAGGCCCATAATGGGATAACCCAGATGACTGCCTTTTGAAGTCAGAACATATTTCATATTTTCAAAGCATGACCTTTCATTCTCCCCGATGAAAGGAAGGATGAAGAGGTTGTTTCAAGAGGAGTAGCAGTAGTGGTATGAAGTTTTTCATTAGTAAGCGGCAGCAAAATTATACCCTACCCAGGAGGAAAATGCCACTTCTCTGTTGAAGAAGATAATGGCACTGCCACTTAACATGCATTGCAGTAACACACACCTTACAGCACTGCACTCCACTGCAAAGATGTGCACAATACTAAACTAACTGTTAAATGCCCTATGAAAAGTGACTATATGGGATCACTTTTCAGAGGTTCAGCTATGTTAGCTGCACATGTAAACAAGCCCTAATTCTCATGTTTGACAAGCAGCTCTGTATACCAGTCACTACATGCTGTATAAAATGTTTGCAACACCACAGAGCATTGCAACCACATGTACAGCACCGCTAACTTCATCTGTCTGTTTTTACCAACCCCCATGTGGATGAGGCCTTAGCAACTAGTCACCAGCAACTAGTGCAAATACACTTGAAGCTTCAAAATACTGTTAATGGCTGGCATTATTCCCTGATAGAAACCCACCAGCCTGACACAGGCCTTAGACTATAATGGTGGGTCTGGCCTTCTCTGCACAGCCCTGTTTCCTCAGGATTCACACTTCTCTCCTGCTCCCTCCAGCACAAGCAGATGTTCTGATATTCTTCTTCCCAGTCATTCAAAGGAATCTTCCTGTGCACCCACTGCACAGCACAGCAGCCATGGCATTGCATTCCGTGGCAGCAAGGAGGGCTATCCTTGGTCAACATTCCTGTCCTCAGGCAGGGTGGTTGGAAGTGCCTAAATGATGAGTTTTTTTTTCTCTGACCAGTAGTTGAATGGAACTATTCCGAGAGACTTGGCCCTGGATGTCCTCAGTTGCTGTGCAGATGAATGGTGCTCACAGCTGCATCCTGATTGCTGTATAACATTAAGTTTCATAAAGTGGCATACATCTTTGGAATGTCGTATACTCTTTATTAGTCGCAACTAATAGTTACACGTATATCCCTATGCTAGCACTATTCCAAGAGCTGTCAATGGTTAGTCTGGCCCAGGGGTTGCCCAGTTGCTATAGTTTCCTCACACAGATCTGAATTTGGGGCTCAGCCTAGTTCTGTAAGGGCTCACATTTCATACATTTCAGCTTTCATCAGGGAATGAGAGTGTGAGCTGCAAGGGGAGTGTTTTTTCAGGAGTTTGGTCCTGAGACTTTGCCCTGAGGAGGAATAATGTTCCCCAGTGGGATTTTATTTTGGTACTGAATTTCCTTGCCATGCTCTGTTTGCACCAACAGAAAGCAGTCCTCAGTGGGACATCACTCAAGAAGCAGTGTCCCTCAATAACATCAAGTGATAACTTCAGGGGGCAGAGTTTTGGATCTGCAAGCATTTCAGGCTTTTAGGTTACAGAGTCCTACATCTTATTTCTTCTGAACAAGTTGGGGCCAATACCCCTCGAGCACTTTTGTTCCCAGGTGGCTTCAGCTTTCATCTTAAAAATTGGTGATTCCATCCTTTCTGGCACAGATGGTACCTAACCTACACAAGCTGGATGTACCAGGTGTCAAAGATGCCTACCTTTAAGCTGCTTTCTAGTTTAAATTCTCCAGGAGGCAGTTCGTGTTTCCATCAGGCACATTCGGAGGAGAAAGCTGCAGTAAACGTTGTCATCTTGGAATGTCAAGATCATCCTGAAACCATAGTGCGACCAGGCAAGAGGTTCCAGAAGTGGTAGAGGCTCATTCAGCCAGGTCCATCTCTACATTTGGTGCAGCGCATGCAAAGTGTCTATGCAGACTTTTGCAAAACAGCAGGCTAGTTGCCATAGTGTGCCTGCCCCAGGCGCTACAGGGAAGATCCAGGTGCTTGTCCGTCAAGTAGTCTAGGCTTCCATGTCCATTGTAATGCAGTTTGATTATACAGTTTAGCCCTCCCTGTTTAGCTTGTTATTTGTCACATGTATGCTGCCATGTTGGCATCAGGAAAGCGGAAAATTGTATAAAATACTTGCCGTAATGTTCCTTTCCTGACACGCAATCCATGGCAGCATACGAACCCTCCCTTGTTTGATCTTGTTCTTTGTACGGAGAATGCGGGAGGTTGCTCTATGTCAGAGTTTTATAGATTTACACAGGTCCTGTGGGTGGATATAGGGGCAGAACTATACCACATGCACCAGGGATGTTGAATTCCTATTGCCCGACGCCTGGGACATGTAGTTCTGGCTGCTGGGCAGGTATTTTTCTTAAACCTTTAGCTCTGCTGCGGACAAGCAGCAGGGTTCACCTGTAAGGTGGAAGCATTCGGGTGGTAACACTGCTGCCAGTTGCTTCCTCACAGTGCCAGCCTCTCCGCGCCCCCCCATGTGAACCTCCCACCGCCCACTATCTCCCAGACTCCGCTTGCCCATCTGCGAGCCCGGGACCGGCTAACGTCCGTCAGCTAGAGTGGAGGGAGGAGAGCGGACACGTCCACTCCCCTCCCCTTCTTGTCATGACCCAGAAGTCACGTTATGATGTCACTTCCAGGTCCCCGTTGAGAGAAAGAATGTAATGCAGTGCGATGTTCACTGCATTACATTCAGTGTAGTACAGGGGAGACATCCAGGGTCTTTTAGACCTTGGATGTCTCAATAAAGAAAACCTGTCACCAAAAAATCACCACATAGGGGCATTGTCTCCTAAGTGATGAAAAAAAAATTAAGTAAAAAAATAAATAGTAATTTCATTATAATTGTAAAAAATTAAAGTTACACCCAAGCACATAACCTCACCCCCTGCCCCAAAAAATGAGCCCCTCCCCACGCCCCACATATACGCATGTACAAACCTAAAAGCACGTTCTGGGGTGCCTACGCATGAAAACATCGATTGCGGTACACATGTTACATATCACCACGCACGCTAGGATGAGAGCAATACTTCTAGCACTAGACCTCCTAAGTACACTATACTGAAGACCTATAAGGGGCTTTAAAAGTGTCACCTACAGAAAATATAGGGTACCGAAGTTCATTGCCATTTCACAAGCACATGCAAATTTAAGGTTTGACATGTTGGATATCTATTTACTCATTGCAACCTCATCTTTTATATTTTACAAAAAAATAGGGCAATTTTTTTTTTTGTGTACCAATAAATAAATAATTTGCGCTAGTAAATGTGTATAAATATATAAATATATATAAAGAAATCATCAAATCATAAGTCCAGAAAAAAATATATATATATGCCAATACCACAAAAAAAAAAATAAAAAAAACTTTTAAGTGCAAAAAACTTTTGTGCAAAAAAAATGTCTAAATATGAAAAATTTCACCAAAAAACCTTGATAATATAATGGCAGATCATCCATAAATATATCTTCAGAAAAAAAATTTTTTTGTGCCCTTAAATTAACTAATTTGTATTTTTACTGAAATTTTGCGGTAATATCACATGACATAAAAAATTGGAACTACCACTATTTTATTCTCTAGGGTCTCTGATTTCACTCCCCTTTCCTGATGAGCACCCAATAGGTGCTCATCACACTGCAAGGTCTCTCCCCTCCCTGCTAGTCCCCGGGTGCGGTGCTGGAGAGAGGCAGGGAGAAGAGGGGAGGAGAAGTGAAACAGCGCAATGTTAAAAATGTTACACATTTAAGTTGCCATAAAACCCCTTTTGATTTTAGAACAATCCTAAAATCATCTCTGATTTAAATACGGTTTTGGTTCAAATTTATTTTTTATCTGGACAAGTAGATTGTCATGAGGGACAAGTAGATTGGGGCACCGATTTAGTCCCTGGACAAGTGTTTTTTTTCAAAAATTTCCACACCCCTGTGTACGCTGCCATGGATTGGCGTCAAGAAAGGAAAATTACAGCATTTGATACACTTTTCCATTTTTGTTGAAACAAACAAAAAATGACTGCAAACTGAAGCTCCACTCAACAGAAAACATGTGACTTCCACTTCCTCGAGTTGTGAGTCGAGTGGAGGTCATATGTTTCATGTCGAGTGGAACTTCAGCCTGCAGGCATTGGTTGGTTGTTACATTAAAGTTCATTAACCACTTCCCATCCGGCTCATGTACATAAACGGCCGGATGGGAGCAGTGCAGGGGAGGGTTGCCGTTTATAAACGGTGCCTGCATTCACAGTCTGTGCGCACTACCTGGGAGCATGCGACACTGATCGCTGTACGGGACCTCTGTGTTAGGTCCAGATCATGTGATCACTGATTGGCCAATCAGTGATCACATGAATAGTAGTAAGTAAGGTGTCACTTCTGACCTCATTGCTTACTACGTGTGAAATCTGTGAATGATCACAGAGATCACATGGTACAGGGCTATTCACAACAGCCTTGTACCATGTGACAAGCTGTGACCAATCACAGCTCTCACAGTATTTCTCAATGGCTGCAAGAATGCAGCCAGAGAGAAGGAGAAATGATTGCTTTTACAGCCTTTATGGGTGTAAAAGCAATCAGTGTAAAAAAAAAAAAAAATCTTCATCACCCCCCACAAGTAGTACAGTGTCACTGTACTGCTAGGGTGACCTAAAAACATAAATAATAGTAAAAAAAAATAAAATTTAAAAACATTTTTTGAAAAGTTATAATTTTTGGTTATAAACTAATTTGGGTAATTGTTTTTTACTAAAAAGATAACTGAATAAATTTTGGCCAATATTTAGAAAGATTATTTATTTGCAGTTTATTTTATTTATAAGAAAAACACTTTTTTTTTTTACTGCCCCCCAATAATAATAACAATGATATAGAAAAAAAATAAAAATCCCACTGGTGAATAAATACCACCAAAATAAAGTTTTATCTGTCTCAAAAAAATGCTAAAACATTCATATGGGTACAGTGTTGCATGACCACGCAATTGTCATTCAAAGTGTGATAGCGCTGAAAGCTGAAAATTGGCCTGGGCAGGAATGGGGTAAAAGTGTCCGGACTTGAAGTGGTTAAAAAAACAATGGTGGAGTGGAGGTCAGATGTTTCCTGTGGAAAAAGAAGCTTTAGTCTGCAGCCAGACCCCCTTGCCATAGGGACAGATAAGGTTTTTTTTTTTTTTTTATGTGTACATTTGAAGTTCCAAATGTGTTTTCTACTGCACAAAGACAGTATTTATGTTTATTCTATAGTATTTCAAATGAAGAAAATTGAAAGTGAGGCTAGGAACATACTGCAGATTTAAAATAAGGTTTGGAACGCAAAATCATGGTCTGAGAGTGAGACTTGGAACGCATAAAGAATGACAACAATATTTGCTGGATTGCATATTAATCTGAGAGTGAGGCTTGGGTGACTCATAAATGAGAATGAGGCTTGGGACACAGGAGAATGAGGCTTGAAACACAGGAGAATGAGAACGAGGCTTGGAACACAGAAGAATGAGGCTTGGAACACAGAAGAATGAGAATGAGGCTTGGAACACAGAAGAATGAGGCTTGGAACACAGGAGAATGAGAAGGAGGCTTGGAACGCAGGAAAATGAGAAGGAGGCTTGGAACGCAAGAGAATGAGAAGGAGGCTTGGAACACAGAAGAATGAGGCTTGGAACGCAGGAGAATGAGAATGAGGCTTGGAACGCCAGCATAAGGAAGGAAAGAGATATACGATCATAGGAAGAATAGTGAGGGGGAAGATGTGGACACCATAGAGAAGGTACTGGAAAGGCTGATTTGTAGCAGGGATATCTAAGCACTCGCACTAGACTGAGCTTGTTGTTTGGTGGGTAGGAGCTGTTATATACTATTGACTTTGCCATGTGAGTATCATGGAGGCTGCCATTGCTGAATACTCTTAGTAAGAATGCTGGTTCCCTTGGCTGTCAGTTCAAGCTTCAGTGTCTTCTGAGTTGCTGATCCAGAACACATAGGCTGCTTTCACACTGATCTATTTTTCTTCTGATTTTGCATTAAAAAAAGGGGGGTAGGGAAGAAAAATTTGTGACCATGTATTCCTATGGGGTGCATTTTTTAAAATCCTGTTTGGTGCAGTAAAAAAAAAAAAAATAGCAAACATGCTCCTCCCTATTGAATCAATTAAAAATGTGTCAAATGCATGAAAAAAATGCCCCTGCGTTGCGTTTTTGGTGTTTTTTGAGGCACATCCTCCAAAAAATGCACCACATGTGCCTTTTTTGCTGCAGATCAGTGTGAAAGAAGCCTTATAGAGATAAAGAATTATTTTGACATTTTAAGTGTAATTCTAGTTAAATCCTAACTGTACACCCCAATTCTAAGCCTAATCTAACTACCTTGTAAAGGAAAGATATCTACTTACCTAGGCATTGGGCACTCCAGTATGTTCACATGACAGATTCCAGTGCTGGCTTCACTGGAGCACAGGGGCAGCTGACAACAGATGCCCCATAGTAAGTCTATGGGTGAGTTCACTTCATAGGCTCTGAAGCCATTGTCTGCAATCTCTCCCCCTTCACTGAAGCCGGACGCTGGGGAGATCATATGGCCGGACCGGCGCAACACCACTTCAGAATAGGTAAGTATAGACTTCTTTCCTTTTACAGGGTAGTTAGAATGGGGGTGGGAGCAGGTTTAAGTATGGTTAGGATTTAACTGAACTTCTTCTTTATGACAACATTGTTGTTTTGGGTTTGTGACTAAATGTATTTAAAGGCTTAGTCCACCTTTTTTACCATGTTCCATCCCTATTTAGGGTGTAACATGAAACATGGTCACATTCCAGAGCCTCCCACCCATAACCCCCCCACCTAAATTGTGGGGATTTGTCTCCTTGAATTATTTAATCAAATTTAGTGGCTTCACCTGCATAGCATTGTGCCGGTTCACATATATGCGTTTTGAACCACATCCAATTCGCATGATGTGAAATAACATTGCTTCCTATGGTGCCTGTTCACATATGTCTGGTGCACTGTCGGTGCAGATTGAAAGAGTCACCCAGGATTTCTGAGCAGTGCGGTCCGGTTCACATTACAGGCTACTGAATTGTATGGGAACAGTTTCTAAAGTGCACACGTGTGAACAGGATAAAATCCTGACCTGAACCTGATGTAAACCTGACATGAACCGCTGAACAACTACTGTATCAATTAGCTGTGAACCCTGAGCTTCAATCCGCACCGAACATGTGTGAATCAGCTCTAAAAGTCTGCAACCATAGCAGAAGGATATCTAGTTCTAAATGGAACACAACTGTGGTGATGTCACCGCACTCAAAGTCTACTCATTACATTCTCCAGCCCAAAAACCGAAGGTTGATACTGAAGTATGAACCTGCAGCTGGAGGAATAGTCTTCATGTGCACTTATGATAATTGATCATGGTTGAAATGACCTAAAGGCTCCAGTGCAGAAATTAAATTCATATTAACCACTTTCCCGCTGCCCTATAGCAGAAGTACTGCTACAGGGTGGCAGGGCTGCGCAAAGTGACGTAAATATACATGATTTGCATTTCCAGGGTAGGGGGTGCGTGCGAGCTGACCTACTTGTGTCGCTATTAGCTGCTGACATGTCAATTGCCGGGTCCTGGCCGGTGATTCTCAGTCGGGACTCTTCGGCAGAGCTGACAGGGGAGAGACCTCTGTGTAAGCAACACAGATCTCTCTCCTGTCAGCATGCCTCCATAGTGAAACACAACACAGCATGTAATGTAAAACACACACAGCACACAGTTAACCCTTTGATCGCCCCAGATGTTAACCCCTTCCTGCCCAGTGCCATTAGAACAGTGTCAGTGTTTTTTATTAGCACTGATCATTGTATTAGTGTCACTGGGGATGTCAATGGCAGTTAGTTCCCACCCAGTGTCAGAATGCCCGCCGTAGTCCTGCTATATAGTTACATAGTTAGTCTGGCTGAAAAAAGACAAAAGTCCATCCAGTTCAATCATTAAAAAAAAAAGTTATACTCCTACACCCACAGTTGATTTGGAGGAAGGCTAAAAAAAGCCAGCAAAGCATGATGCAATTTGATCCTGCAGGCAGGCAATCAGATATTCCCTGGATAAACGTTACCTATAAATGTTAGTATCCAGTTATATTCTGTGTATCCAAGAAAGAATCCAGGCCTTTTTTTAAAGCAATCCACTGAGCTGGCCAGAACCAACTCTTGAGGTAGTCTATTGCACATTTTCACAGCTCTCACTGTGAAGAAACCTTTCCATATTTGGAGATTAAATTTATTTTTCCTCCAGACGTAAAGAGTGCCCCCTTGTCCTCTGTGTTGACCTCAGGGTGAATAACTCTACACCGAGTTCACTATATGAACCACTGATGTATTTATACATGTTGATCATATCCTCCCCTTAATCTCCTCTTCTCAAGAGAGAATTAATTCAGTTCCTCTAATCTTTCCTCATAGCTGAGCTCCTCCATGCATCTTATCAGTTTGGTTGCCCTTCTCTGTACTTTCTCCAGTTCCCCAATGTTCTTTTTGTGAATTGGTGCCCAGAACTGAACTGCATATTCCAGATGAGGTCTTACTAATGATTTGTACCGGGGTAATATGATATCTCTCTCTCTGGAGTCTATACCTCTTTTAATACAAGAGAGGATTTTGATTGCTTTAGAAACTGCAGCTTGGCATTGCATGCCATTATTAACCCATTGGCTCCCAGCACAAAGACCAGGGTTTCACTGAGAGCCCCGGGGCCTGTTCTAACGATCAGGACCCGAGACTCCTGAATCTGGGTCACATGATCACTGTGATAGCCTCTGATTGACTATCACAGTGATCAGTCACTGTACAGCCTGGCTCCCTTGTTTTTTTTTTCTGTCTGTGAATGGAGGAAAGGTACATTATATCTCTCTAACTCCTGGCATAGAGGGGAAAAAATGTATGTTTAAAATAAATAAATATTAAAAATATAAAAAAAATAAGAAAATACTTAGATCAAGGTTTGATCTAGTTCAGTGCCAGGGTAAGTGTTTGGGTCAAGGTCAGGGTCAAGGGTCAAAGGTCAGGGTTTTAATTATTATTGGTATTAGTGTCAGTGTGTTTTAGGTAAACAAAATACGCACTATTGTTTCTGGGCTGTACTACGGGTACAAACAACAAATAACATACACATATATGGTATCGCTGCGATCGTCAAGACCTGGAAAATTTATTTTGGGTTGTTCTTTGGTGGTAGGTTATGGTAATAACAAGAAACACGCAGCTAAATTAAAAAATATATATATATTTTTTTTTTTACTATTTTTGTCCAGTCTTTCTTGGTCCATCAGGAGATATCCATTACCATTTACCACCAAATGAAAGTCCAATTTGTCCTGAAAAAAACGCGGTATAATTCACCTGGATGTACAGAGTAAAATTGTAATGATCATTACAATTTTACTAACATGTCAACGTTGCAAAATTGTGCTTAGGTGTTAAGACTTTGTTTTACCCTTAGGCATGAAG